CCCCCCAACAACCCACTCAGAGTTTGTAGTGTAATTTTCCAAATCTTTCCATAAGGTCTTCCTTTCTCTACTGGTGTGTTTCCCATACACAGAAGTAATGGTAATGTTGTTGTGAGTTGAGAGGTTTTGGAAATGACAGCTTATAAACTGGTCCTTTTCCAAGAAAGAAAGGAGATTAAGAAACTCTGAGTTCCAGAAGACCCAGATTTTGTTGTTGCTAGAGAAGGCCCCCTGAGAAAAACCAAGTTTAATTCTGTAGGAATCATGTTGAGAGAGATCAACCATAGGTTCAGTGATGGCTAGAAAATTAATTCTGTACATATGTAAAAGAGATTTGATCCTTTTGAGAGAGGATCTAACTCCACAAACATTCCAAAAGAGCACAATCATTGAAGACTTTGGAGAGAAAAGTCTTTGTGCCCCTTGAGACTCCTAGTGAAAATTGTTCTGTGAGAATCATACTGTTTTTTCTTCTTTGCCTTTGGGATGGATAATGATGAGGAATCCTTTGATGGGGTTCTGAAGTTAACAGGCTCAATTGAGGAGGTATCCATGATTTCCTCAAATTCACCATCATCTGAGTGAGTTCCATATTCTCCTGGGTCCCAATAGGAGGTAATAGATGGTCCCACCCCCTTACCAGGTGGGTTAAGACCCAAGTCAGGGTCAATATTGTGTAGGCAGTCATCCAAGGATCCTTTAAAGCTAATAATATTGAGTGGATTTACCTTTGATGAAAAATCAGAGAGAGATAAAGCTGTGGGAGAGAGGGGTATTTGTCTGGTTGTTTTTGCCACATATTCTTTTGCCTCTGAAAGAGTGGGAAAGTAGAAATCATTCTCTTTATAATGCATAGGTGTGGGGACTGACAACTCTTGTGTTACCAGGTCCAACTGGCTAGAGGATGGTAGTGGGTCCATGGAGTTCTCCTGCATATCGAGTAGATCAAGGATGTGTGGAGTAAAGTAGTTTGTTATTTTATCCTTGGCCTTCCAGTGGTAAGTGGGTCGTGACTTCTCTTTTGTGGTGGCAGTCTGAGCATCATTATTAGATTTGTGTGTCCTTTTCTTTTTGATTTCTATCCAGGACTGAAAATGCTCTAACTGAAGAACCTCTTTTCCCTTGCCGGAGGAGGTCTTTCCGGTGACTTTCTGATTATGGTTGGGGCAGGAGACACCCTCTTTGTGACCAAATTTTTTACAATTATTACAGAATAGAGGGATTCTATCATAGATACAATTGACAAGGAGGTTTTTTCCACCTGCTCTTATATGAATTAAGGGGGGAGGGGGATGTGAGATATCCATCTCAATACAAATTCTGGCTTGCTCCCTCCTATCTCTATTAATGGTGTGATCATCCACCTTAATAGGTTTTCCCAGCAGAGATGAGATGGTGAAAAGGGGTTGGAAGTCAATGAAATGTAGAGGCAGATTGTCTAAGGTAACCCAGATAGGGAGAATAGGACTGTCCTCCCTTCCACTATAATTAGGTGTCCATTTAAACACGTAGAAATGAGTTTTATTGACATACCAGTTGCCTCTTTGAATGAATCTGACATAATCTTTTTCTTCTTTAAAGGTGAACAATACGTCTGCTGAAGATATTCTTCTGATCCTAAAGTTATGGAAGCCAGCTTTCAATAGGAACTCCTTGAGGACTGGTAGATGAATGTAGCTATTGAATCTGCCCACAACAGCGTGATGAAGCTTTTTCTCCAACATATCCTCTTCTTCTTTTGTAAAACTGACTGATGGTGTGCCGTTGTAGAAACCTGATTTAGTACCCACTGCTGCAGTATTTGTAGCTTTGAATAAATCACTGAAGTGTTTGATGAATGGTTTGTATTGTGTATTAAGATTAGGACCTGCCTGAGGATTTTCTGGCACCGTCGCCGGAAATCTCTCTTCTCTCTATATATATAGTGTTTGAATAAATCACTGAAGTGTTTGATAAATATATATATATATATATATATATATATATATATATATATATATATATATATATATATATATATATATATATATGGATTGACTCTGGTGAGTCGACACCTTTTGGTAAGATGACATGTTTCAGTCACATGACGTTGGAGCTCACCACTGATCACTGCAAAACTCACCACTGTCCACTGCAAAGCTCACCATTATTTTCCAACACTTTACGTTTTTTCAAAATTTGATGGTTAAATGCTCACAAAGCCCAGCAACAAAACACACTGACTCTCATTCAAAAGCTCACCGAATATTAGCACAAAGCTCACCACATTTTAAAGTTTAAAATGACTTCGAAAAAAAGGGCGATGGTGTTGACTTCCAACCGTTGCAGACTACCGCAATGGACCGGTGGTTGACTGGTGGGGCAATTTTATTAGCTTTTTTTTAAAAAAAAGTGTTGAGCTTTGCATTGTTCCTTGGTGAGCTTTCCATTTTCAGTTGGTAAGTTTTGCATTGACAGTTGGTGAGATTTACACTTTGACCGCCCATGACCAATGGCCACCACCGATGACCCCCACTGTCGCCGTGGACCAGTGGTTGAATGGTAGTGCTATTTTTTTAACTTTTTATTAGAAAAAAATTGGTTAGCTTTGTATTGTTCCTTGGTAAGCTTTCCATTGGTAGTAGGTGAGCTTTGCATTGGTAGTTGGTGAGCTTTTCATTGGCAGTGTTGTGTGTGTTGTGTCATCTGATTGAAGCATGTCATCTCACCGTAAGGTGTCATCTCACTGGAGTCAATCCTATATATATATATATATATATATAGGATTGACTCCAGTGAGATGACACCTTACGATGAGATGACATGCTTCGGTCAGATGACGCAAAGCTCACCACACTACACTAGAAAGCTCACCAATGGACAATGCAAAGCTCGCTTGGAAATAAAGCAAAGCTCACTACTTTAAACACCAAAACTCACTTTTTTTTTAAATTTTGAAAATTAAAAAACTAACTAATTAAAAATAAAATAGCAACACCGGTCAACCACCGGTCAACGACGGCGGCCGGAGGCGGAGCATCGGCGGCGACGAGTGGCGGTGGCTGCCGGAGTCCGGCGAAAGCAGCCGGCGGTGGCTTCCAGAGTCCGGCGACGGTGACCGGCGGTGGCTGCCTAACTCCGGCGACGGCGGCCGGCCGCGGCTGCATGCGTCGGTCAATGCACGCGATCAATAGTCAAAGTCCAGTCAGCACCACTTCCTTTGATTTTATTTTTTCAAAAAAAATTCAAAGTGTTGAAAAAATATGATGAGCTTTGTAGTTGTCTTTGGTGAGCTTTGCAGTGGCCACGCTTTATGTGATCTGACCGAAGCATGTCATCTCACCGTAAGATGTCATCTCACTAGAGTCTATATATATATATATATATATATATATATATATATATATATATATATATATATATATAATATATATATATATATATATATATATATATATATATATATATATATATAAAGGGGCTGGTTCAAGTGAGAATGCACCTTGGTGAAAGAAATAAGAATAAAATCTGTCCTTTGGATCTGATGCATCGTGCGGCTCAGATTGCATTCTGCACTCAAATTTTGAGATAGTGCATTTTCAAAGGATTATGGTGCATTTCGACATGATGCATTTTCAAACTATCTTGGTGCACCTAATTTTGATGCAATCCTAACCCTTAGATCTCCCAATCTAATGCACCAGATTCATTCTTATTTCTTTCATTAGATTGCATTCTCACCTGAACCAAAATCTATATATATATATATATATATATATATATATATATATATATATATATATAATATCTCAAGAAAATTTCTTGCTGAGTATGGAGAGTATTTGTTCTCAGGATGTTCTAGGATCCGGGCAGTATATGTGTGCAGTTGGAGCCGGTGGGGATCGAGGATGAGTCAGGGGCAGATTTAGCCGTGACTGATGTGTTGGAGCTTGGGAGAGCTTCAACGGGCCTTTCAGTTGTCTAATGAGAGAGCCGCTGTAGCAGGAAGATTACTCGATGTACAAGCAATCGTGGCGGATGGCAGTCAGTGGCGGAGCCAGGGAAGACTTCATGGGGGGCACAAATTTATCAAACCAAACACTCTGAAACCAAACACTTTGAAGCCGTCTTTTTTACCAATGGTCGACAAGGACCTTTTGCTAAGTATGTTCTCCTTATGACATCTCTAATTTCCAACGTATAACTATTGATTGGTTTTCTTAATCTTAGATCAGCAACAATATCATCGATTGAAAACACTTTCTTTCTAAGATACTTCTTTTTCATTGCCTTTATCATTTACAAATACTAAATTCTTCTTTTCTCTAATAACAAATTTATCCATCTCAGGTCTCAAGATTACCTAATTAAATAATAAAATAACAAAATGAATATACATTAACATTTAACAAATATTTAAATATCAATAAAAAATTAGGAATCTGCCTGAAAATTAGAACAAGGGAACAAATTAATGTTTTCAAAAAATAAATAAACAATATTCAAAAATTTAAAAATTAACAAACAAATCTCTAAATTGAATAATTGGAAATTGAATATATCTGGATAATGAAAGAGTAATCGAGAATTGAAGAAGAAAAACCGTGAAGAAGATGAAGATTTGAAGAAGAAGAACTCAAAAGTGAAGATGGTTGACCTTTTTTTTTGTTTTACCGCAAAGATTTAGATGAGAGAACACAGAGAGTCTGGAACTCTGGGTTACTGCACCTTTACGAGGTTAGTGGGTTTATTTTTTATTTTTTATTTTTTGAGAAAGTAGATCGGAAGAAAAAATGGGGAATGGGGAGCCGTCCATTTGGTCAAAGACTTAAAGTCTCAAATGTTTTAAAAAAAGTACAGCTACATTAGTACCTTTACACCTTCTGTCCTTCTTCTTCCCTGCACTTCCGCCACACCAGGCACCGCACCGCGAGTTGCCGGAAAAATTGGAGGGGCACATCAAGCCTACCATTGGAGGGGGTACCCTAATACTACTTCGCCGGAAATTCGCCGGGGGGCACTTGCCCAGGACCCCCCCTCTCCTCCGCCCCTGATGGCAGATGATGATTATCAAGCCTCTAAGTGGGAGAATATTGGGTTTGTGGAGGCTTGGGCTTGACTTGTTGGCCCCGATTATGTTATGAAACCCTAGATGCGCTCTTCCTATATATATATTGCATACTTGTACTTGTAATCGACACCACAAGTGAAATAAGAAATTCCTTCTGTTGTAGCCGTGGATTATGGAAACCGAACCACGTTAAATTTTTGTGTGTCGTTTATGTTCCGTTTCTTTCGTTTCTCGCAGATCTTTTGTGTGTGTTGTGTGTGTTGTGTGTTTAATTTCCCAACAAAATTGATATTAGATATTGATAAAAAATATTTATTATATTTTTTTTATAAAATAATTTCAAAATATTATTTTATCTAACTAATATTCCATATACAATATACTACATCCGTCCTAGTGTATTTTTCTAGTTTGATTTTAAGAATCAAATTATACACACTTTGGATTTCAATTGAATAAAAACAACCGAGTATAATGTGTTTTTGTATAAAAGATGATTAGAAATCACCATAAATACGATTAAAACATAGATAAAAGTATCAAAATAGGATTTTTATATTCCCCCGAAATAAGACTTCACACTGTGGTAATGCGTGGTTGTAATGTGACACTGTAATGTGAACAATACTATACTTTTTGGTAATGTATATGACTATGTTTGGTAATGTAAATGCATTTTAAATCCTATTTCAGAAATAAAAACATGGAAGTCCTATTTTGGAATATTTTCAATATTTTAGTATTACTTTGATCTTTCTTTCAAAGATGATTTCATTAAATTATTCTTGTTAAAAAGTTTCAAATATTTATTGTAATGTACTCCAGTATATACAATAGAAGAGAGTAATTAATGATTTAAATTAGTCTACTTTGACTTGAAAAAGTCAAACTAAAGGACTAGTTCCTCTATCTCATATTTTTCATCTCATTTTTATTTTTGCAGTCAATATTTTTTAACTTTGACCACAAATTATGGTAAAGTATATTGAATTGTAAAATAAATTCAATATCAAAAAATTCATTCCGACACGTAAATATCATATTTTTATTATCTACGAATATGTATTAGGAAATGAGAAAAAAGATATGGGATAGAAAGTAATTTTTATAAATCAAAGAAAACTACTCCCTACATAGTCAAAAAAAAAAGTAATGCTAGAGTCATAAAGACATAAACTACACAAATTTGCCATTTATGTATTTTAATTTTTATTTTTATAAATCATTTTAAATAAGACTAAAACATAGAGAAAATTACCAAAATAGAACTTCCATGTTTTTTTTCCAAAATAGGACTTTGCACTGTGGTAATGTGACAGTGTACATGTGCAAATTACTATACTTTTTTTTACCATGCTTGGTAATGTAAGTCCTATTTCGAGAATAAAAACATGGAAGCCCTATTTTGGTATATTTTCAATGTTTTAGTCGTATTTTGGTCTTTCTCCCTTTTATTTTATAATTATTTAATATAATTTTATTTTTTTTGGAAAAGTGCACAAATTACAAGTTTGTGTAATGTCCGTCATTTTTGACTCTAGCATTAGCCTTGCATTAGTAAAAAATAGACAAATTTGTACTAAATAGGACTAAAAGATAAGTCATTTTCTAATGTAGGATTTAAATTTTTTTATTTTCTAAATAAAACTTAATAATGTCTAGTGGGAATAATGTCCCGTGATGGTGAACATTTTACTTGAATAATGACCAATAATTCTAAATTGAAAAATAAAAACATATAGTGCTATATGATCATTATATTTTAGTTCCAAAAAATAAACAGTGAGATTTAAAAGTTACTCCCTCCGTCCTAAAACTTTCTTCCGAGAGTACTATTCCAATTTCACGGAAATTTATATTTATTTGTGTTTTTTCATGACCTATATGATAAAATAAAATATTCTTGTCACCACTTGTTTTGTTGAACTTTTGATGTAGTTTTTAAATATGTATATTTTATTTTTTATTTCTATACCAATATTTAAATAACTTGGGTTCGTTTTGCGCAAAGGGAAAAAAGTTTGGAAAAATTCACATGATTACTCCCAAAATTGCATAATTTTATATAAATACTCCAAGATTTAATAGATGACATCCATGCTCCCAGAATTTTTGTACCCTTACATCAGTACTCCAACATTGAAATATGTTTACATCGGTGCCCCAACATTTAGAGCATTGATATAAACATAAATGAATTCTAAGAGCAGCGATGTAAACAGATGTAAATTTTGGGAGTATTGATGTCATTAATTGAATCTCTGAGTATTTATATAAAATTATGTAATTTTGGGAGTAATGATGTGAATTTTGTTTTAGGAACTAGGGAGTATTGCATATAGAGTTCGAAGATAATTCTAAACACTAGTTGCAGGCCGGGTTCTGGCCATGGAGATGATTTTGAACATGGCTGACGATGACAATGGCGAGGAGGCACGAACGCAAGTGTGCATCAATAATAGGCCAAAGCTCGTATTCCGGATTCGGGACAAGGCCACTGGAGGTTTCCAATGCTTTTCTCGGCAGCAGCACGAGCGGCTATGGCCGATTCTGGCACTGGATGCATCCGTCCACATATCCTAGGAGAGAACACATAAAATCGTAGAAACTATAGAGAACCACCAGGGATACTTTTTATCATCCGATTTAAGTGGAGTAAGTAAGAGTTTATGTCAAAAATTCAGATCTGAATTTATTGAAATTTGATATGATTTTTTCTGATCTGATCTGAATCTTTTTTTATCTGGTCTCATTTCAATTAAATTTGGCATTCATTTCAAATAATCCTTTAGCCATCCCATACAGAAAGTAAAAAAGCATTACCTTGTGCCATGAAACTAGATCCTTGCCACTGGGGAACGAGGCGAAGAGACGAATCTTGCTGGCCCTCGCCTTTGGGTTGAGGCACCTGAGTTTACCTTTTCTTCCATGGGCACTTCCAACATATATGATAGTTTATGGCTAGTTATAATGGCCACACATGTGGAGAACGCCTCTAGGGAAGCGAATGATGCGTCATACCGGACAGAGTAGAGCCCATTCTTCAGCGGCGACAACACAAACACCGCTTCCTTCTCACACTCTCCCCTCTGCAAAGACATGAAGAAAACACATCATGTCACATTGTTATATGCCTAAATTTTTCTGAGGGGTCATAATGAAAGGCAAAGAAATGGAAATGAAACAGCACGGATAGATAGATACCTCAAGGAGAAGAGAAATGGAATCTTGGTTGTCACCGTTCTTTTCCTCTCCCGTGAAAACTCGCAACTTGCAACCAAGGTCCCACCCTCCACAATCACATAATCCTCCGGATCGCCACCGTTCAATTAGTGAAGAAGGTGCACCGTTTTGGGGTAAGCCATGAATTCCACTAGGAAGGATAACTACAATGTCACTACCCTTTTTCCTGTCATTTATCTGCCCTCCTCTGTTAAATTTTGTGATTTGGTTCATGACCATAACAGCAGCCATCTCTTTGTTTGCCAGAAACTCAGGCATTTGCTTGTCCTCCTGTTGAAAACCAATGCTGTACAAGATCGATTGTCTGAGAACAGAGTCGTCGAAACAATCCTCTGATACCTTCATCGTGGCTATGGCATCATTATAACTATGTCCACACTCTTTGGATCTCTTCTTTTTTGTTTCAGGTGCCTTACAGAAAGAATATGTCAAACACCCATCCCATTCCCCCTTTTTTGGCAATTTCTTGACTGCAGCAACCATGATATCACTTCCATTATCAGCAGCAAATTCAAAGAATGGGAGGCCATCTTTGAATGTAAGATGCAGGAGAGCCTCAGTAGTTGAGGGAAGATGTTTTTCTTTATGCTTCAAATCCAGGGAACTTAAGATTCCAGTTAGCTGCTTATTAGTCTTCGCCGAGTAAACTCCCTTGAATCTCTGAAGGGGGTGCAATAACAACCTCATGAAAGCACTAGATCTCCCTCTTCCTCTGGAACTTTCCTTATCCGATAAAGGAATAACCGAAGTGTCATTAAAGCTGAAACTTCTGTTCAATCTATTGTGACTTGAGCTAAATCTTCGGCTAGGCGATGGATGGTCTTTGCTCAAGGTAGATTTTGCAGCAATGTCATGATCCCTTTTCTGGGAAATCTCAAATGAGTTGAAGGATGCGGATTTTGGTTTCTTCTGCAAATTCTGTTGTTTTGCTCTAGATTCTTTGCTGCTCAACTCGGGAGCACAAAATTGTGGAAAAAGATTGGCTTTATTGTCTGTTTTTATTTTACTACTATCGTCTTCTTGAGAACTTGTCATGGTGTTTTCAACCAGATCTAGGAACAAATCTTCTTTGAATGACACAACTTTCGGGTATGAAACTTTCCTCTTATCCTTTTGACCAATGCTTGTTTCAGCACACCTCCTCTGAGAAGATATCATCCCTTTTGCTTGGCTCTTCTTCATGGAGGATGCCAGAAGCTTCTCTTCTTGATGAGATGAAGACGGAGATTTGTGGTGTCCTCTTGCAGGAACACGCTCATTGGGCTTCCATTTCTCAAGACGTTTCCAGTCGATAACTCCGAATTGCAGGGCTTTTTCTTGGACGCTCTTTCTGTGTTCTGCTTGCTGAAGATATTTGGGCAAATTCGACATGTGTTTCACAAGCTCAATCCCTTCCTTGTCCATTTTTCCTTGTTCAGGTCGCTTTTGGCATTTGGTTGAGGTCTTTTGCTTTTGCCCAAAATTCATTCTATTATTAGTGTCTCATCGTTGTCCCATGGTGCAAATAATAGTTCACAGATGTTTGCTTTGCTGAATTTCATCTATGCACAAGGTATAGAATCAAATATTCAATGCTTCAAAAATATTCTTTCCTTCAAAAGATGATAATTATAAAAGCATTTGGTGGGAGTGATCATCCATTAACACACGTAATCATTTTCACATGTATCCAGCTTGTTTCCCAAAAATGAAAATAGTCCTCTCCTATTAGGCCGTGCGCAGTGGGGCATGCAATCCCCCACTCACGCCGGATCAATCTTTTACTACCGTCCCCATGAGGCGTAAAATTTTGAGCAAACAAGAATGAAAACGACTAAAATATGAGTAAAATATTGAAAATATACCAAAATAAAAGTTTTATATTTTTATTCTTGAAATAGAAGTTAAAATATATTTATCAGTCAATTCATGAGCATATACATTACCAAAAGTATTGTGAGATGTGTGCCACAATACTATAATTCGAACTCCTATTTTGGGATAAAACTATGGTGCTCTCATTCAGGTACTTTCTCTTTGTTTAATTTTCTATTTAGAAAATTGATGGTACCTACTTCCCTAACCCACCTCATAAACCTCCACCCTAGCCTCGCCCTTACCCCCACCCCAATACCGCCCTAAGCCCCCCTCCAAATGTGTTGCTATTATGCAATGCAATACATAATAGCCACACATTTGGAGGGGGCTTAGGGTGGGGGGTAGGGGTGCGGCTAGGGTGAGGGGTTTATGGGGTGGGCTAGGGGGGAGGGATAGGAACCATTAATTTTCTGATTGGAGCATCAGAGATGCTCCAAAAATGCAATGACACTACTAGTGTCACCATTGTTGAGTGCCAACAAAACCGTATCCATATACATACATACATACATATATATATTGTGTGTGTGTGTGTGTCGCGCGCGCGCGTGCGTGCGTGTGGGCGTGCGTGGGTGTGTGCGTGCGTGTGTGTGTGTGTGTGTTGGACTGAGAGATGAATGTTAATGTAATTAGCACAATATATTTATCCGGGTCTTAATCTATGCGGACCGTGCGTAGACCAGAAGATAACCCACGAGCTAATTGGCGGGTCAAGTGGTCAACCTCCCCGGGCTGTGTGGAATATTTAATGAGCTGGAATCATGTCTAATTAGGGTCAGTTACTTGAGGAGTTTGAGGAGAGATTTGTCTAGTTTTTAAGTAGAGTCCTAGTAGGATTTGAAAAGTTAGGAGACTATAAATACCTCTTAAGGGATTTGAAGAAACAAGTCTCTCATGCCATTATTGATTCAATATTCTGTCTCTTTATCTATTCTATATTCCGTCTTAAGAGAGATTGTGAGATTAATATTCGAGGATACGAGTGAGAATACTCAAACGTGTTCGTGAACATGGCAGAACGAAGGACGAGAAACAACGCTAGGGTTCCCGCGATGAATCCTTAGTCGTCCACTACTACACCGCATCTAGGGAAGGGAGTTATATTAGTGCTCCAGCCTGCTCCGATGTAGGTGGCTATGAACAACATTGTGCTGTTACTGACCAATGCAACTTATTATACAATTCAGGTCAGATTTTCAATTCGTTATATGAGCCAATCCTTGATGATCCGCAAGCGGTACAACATGAGTTGAAGACCCGTACACCTTCTGTGGATCGAGAATAGGCCCGAGAAGAACACTTGGTGTATATCTTGAAGTGTGACGAGAGCGAGTTTTAAAATGATAAGATTCGAGAGTATAACAAATAGATCAGGTAGGAGAGAGCCATGATGGATCTGAAGCGCCCGGTCCAGTATGAAACCTGGCGAGTATGACTTTGTTACCTCTATCCCAGGGGACGAGGTTGTTAGAAGGCCGGGGAAAGGCTATGTAAAGGTGGGTGTATAAGTAAAAAGAAAATCTTGAGTCCCTCTCATCTGGGACCCAACCCAGCCGTACAATGCAAAGGTAACGGCCCGAGGTTGCGAGATCTTTGAGAGGCTCCGAGTTTGAGTTAAGGAGAGGCTAGGGAAGAACCCAACAGTGATCCCAATCCCCTGCTAGGGCACACACAACAGGGTCGGATCCACCATACAGGAGGCCGACGCTCGAAGGAGAGACGACAAACCACAGAGTGGTCGACGAGCTTCAAAACCGGGACACCTCGACGAAGGTCGGAAGGGAAGCTCAGACAGTATGCGGGATCTTCGTGAAAGTATTGAGAAAGTGGAACTGGAGGCGGATACCTTAAGTACCTCAAGCTAGTTCTACTATTGGGAACCTCTTTCTCGCGAAGGTGATGGCCTTCTCGCACTACATGGGGTTTAAGGTTCCGCCTATGAAGAGGTACAATGTGCAGACCGATCTGGAAAAAAACTTGAGGTGAGCCGAAGATGATTTGATCTACCGTTGTTTGTTCGCAAACAGCGGACAATACGGTTGCGGGTTGAATGGACTTTATTCCCTCGCGGAGCATTGACAACTGGAAGGACTTGGTAGTCAAGTTCGTAGAGTATTTCACTGAATGTTTTAAACCCAAAAAACACTTCACCCAGCTGGACTCTGTTAGACACATGAAGGGTGAATCTTTGATGAAGTTCCTAGCAAGATTGAGGAAGGAGTCTCGAGAGATAGAAGGAGCGGAAAACAAGTCTCACATGACAATGTTCACCGCCTCCCTCCTTAAAGGTTCATTCTATGCCGACCTGACTACCCATTCAGCAAACTCCTTAGAGGATGCCATAGCTAGGGCAGACATGTATGTTACCTTAGAAGAGAGGGATGTGAGCATCAAAGTTGGTATTTACAAGAATAGTATAGCATAACAATATGGGTGACAAGCTTATTTAAGTATACGATGGATTAAGCATTATTAATTATCTGTGGGATGGGCAGAAGAAGGCTTTGTCACAGGATCTTCTAGTGTAGAAGGGGTGTCCCGGGTTCAGAGTGGGGCATCGGTTCCTTGTTCGGTTGGACCAACTGAAGCATCACCAACGTTGGAGGAACTCTCTTCCTCACTTTCAGAACAATTGTACTCTTTAAAGACTTCGATGATTTAAGGTGAGCTTTCACTCCTAGAAGAGGAGC